TTTGTTCAACTCCAGTTGGCTAAACTCAGTTGGCTCCTAGACTGTACCTGTGCAGTGTGATCAGACATACGGAAAGGTAATTTTTCAACCCAGCTTCCCCATTTCAACCTAGTTGGCTAGTGATGAGCCAGAGTAAGAACAAAACTGTGTATGTATGTGAAATTCAGGCAGATCAAAATATAGCCAGAGTGAGAATCAAGGCCAGGGTGTGCTGATTAGGCTGCACTGAAAGCCACGTACACTGATCAAGCTTCCTCACGTAAGGGATACAAATTTAAACAGCTGAGAGCTTGTATAGGTAAAAAATTAATTACTGCAACTTAGCTGGAACCTGCCTTTGAGAATAAAATACATTGGTTAAATCTGAGGTTCTAGTCAAATCATTTAAACTACCTTAGAGGGAGAAGCTCATTCCTACAATTTCCAAATACCAGTTTTCAGCTCAGGAGCATTAGCCCTGAGACTCCTGGTTTGCAAATTGCCACAGTTTCGTATCCAGGTGGACATGAGAATATGTGCAAGTCTTTGTCATCCTAACCAATGGCAATCAAGATAATAAGGGACAAAAGAGAGAAGAATAGACCTTCCAAAATCAGATTTTTCAGCTATTTCTAAAAGGTTTTAGAAGGGTCAGAGCATCAAGAAACCTTTGTTCAGTCTCCCAGGGGACCTAGGTTACAGATCATTATCTGAGCTATGAAGTCACTGTCAAGCACAGGATCTGCTTGGTTGGGGCCAGCTGATAGCCAGGAGGAGGAGAGAGAGCTTGCAGAGGAACTCTGCACTGCTTTCCAACCCATTTTCATGAAGCTCTACGTCAGCTCCAATAATCTGCCACAATATGCAAAGCAATTTCCAATGAAGGCCTGGCAGCTGAACTGATACAAGTAGCTGCAGGCAAAGGACTAGTCTCACTCCCTCCTTCCCACTCCATTCCTGCAGTGCCACTTCCTTTCTAAATCAAACATCCTTGCCAGTTAAAACCTTTACAATAAACTACAATTCGGTATACATTCCAAGCAAGAAATGTATGTGCAGCTTTTCAGATGTGCATCCTGTGCCCTCCCCCAGCAGCAGGAGGTTCTGGTACAAAGAACCACTGGCAAGAAAGAAATTGCGCTATTATTTTTAAATGTCCTGATACACAAAAAAATCTCTTAGAAAGTAAAACAAAACAAACAAAAAAACCCCCCACCTAAACCCCCCAAAACCCAAAAAGGAGTACAATGAAGTCTTTATTCTTGATGTCGTTTAAGCAAACAGCAGGCAAATGTGTTAAAGAGGAAACAGGAAATTTTTATTGGAAACAGCTTTATTTGTTAGTCCATTTCACAAAGCAAGCCTCCATGCTCAAATCAAGGGTAGGAGTTCCTTTTGTGTATGGTTGGGAACCAGTAGTGCTTATTTACCCACTTCCAGGGGGATTAGGAGGACCCAGTTCTCCCCAGACTGGGAAGTGAAAATGGAAAAGTCTAACTTGCTTTTTGTTAAACTTTGGATAATCTTGGTTTCTGGCCCTGCAAGTTTGCAAGTTTAAACCTTCAGAGCAAAAATAATTCACACCTTGTTTTACACTGCAGTTGCAGAAGGGATAGCTCTAAGATGTCTATAGTCTTTTGTTTGATGATACCTTTCCTCCTATAGAAAATAAAAACCACACAGTGTGATGCTGCAATAATTTTCTTTCAGAAAAAAAGTCATCATAGCAGTGTAGTTAGGAACAGCAACATCACGTACTTTCATTCTTCCTTTCTTTTTGCTTCCATGAAATAACAAGCAATTTAAGCACTAGCTCTCTCAGGGGCTTCAGGACAAGGTGAAAAACAGATGTATCTTTGTACAGTCATGCACTGACTCAATTTTCACCTAAGTGCTAAACATCTTACGAACAGTTCCAAGCAGATGGTTTCCTCTTGCCTCAACTCAGACACCTTTACAACCATATTAGCACCTCCACACATCAGTTCTACTCATCTCACCTTTTGGCTCTGTTAAGAGAGCAGATTGTAAAAATCTGTAGTGACACTGGTCAAACCTACGCTGTTAAAATAAAATTTCACAAAAAAATGGGCTTGACTTCTGAAGTTTCACTGCAATGTTATACATAACAACTGGTTTGTTTGAGCTTCTTAATTTCATCTTGGACTTGATTTTAAACCAAGTTATTCTAGTTGAAATTTATTATTTGACTTTTCTTTCAGAATAGAGAAAAAAATTGTAAAAATTGAACACAAAATCATCTTCCTGAATTAGCTTGAGGGACAGTCTCTCCCATGCAGTGCAGAGAATATGATTTCAGATCATGAATGCTGGAGATGAATACACTTGCTCTTTATTTTAGTGCCTAAAACTCCATAAACTATCTGCACGTTTTCTAAGGAACAGAGGAGCACCTGGAGCACATAGAGCAAAAAAGTTTCTTCCCTGTCCAGGACTGATGCTCCAGTTTAATGGCTGCAAAAGGGCTTGTATGCTCAGAAGCTCATCCTCTTTTTCTGTCTGTATCAGAAATTACCTCTCCCTACATATCAAGTCCCTCTGAAATTTCTGGTGCTTTACAAAATTTGTTTTCCACTCCAAAACACTGTCTTCAGCTACTGGGGAGCTTGAGATCATTCAGGATCATATTTTTTAAGACCAGCTGTGGTATATATGAGAAATACTTTTCTCTGGATAGAATTCCCCTGTCCAAGTACAAGCAATCGTTCTTCCTAGTGTCGAATTGCATTCCTGTCATGTGAATTGCAGTCCCAACACCAGACCTGATCACACTATACAACCACTCAGTCTATAGATACATGAACATGGATGTGAAATCTGAGACAAACTGGGGAAATAACTGCACTGCGGTAGCTGTCTACAAACGAGCAGGCCAGGCACTGAAAATGATAAATCAGTTTTGTGTAATGCCATATGCCTGCAGCCCTTTAAAGCTGGGACAGTATGACTGACTTCCTAAGAGTTAGCCTGCTAAGTGTCCATGGCCTCAGATGGTTTTCACTTTGAAGATATGCAACTGTTGCTTGAAAATAATTAAATTCCTTTTCATAAGTCTGTTTTTTCTCAAACTTACATCATTAAATATTCCTTAGGCAGTGTCATTAACTTTCTGCTCCGCATCTTTCAAAAAAGCAGCACATAACAAGGACTAAAGAAAGCAAAAATGTAGTTAGGGAAGAACTGCATTTTATAAGGATAATGCTCTCAAACACTGAAACTTGCGAAGCTTGTCAATAAATGTTCAACTACTAAAAGCTAGAGCATTCTGAAAATCCCATAAAAAGCTCTTGCCAAATTTCTAACTCATTTGGAATTTCTCCCAATTGTAAGAGAACAACCTAATCTTATACAACTGTTCTAAAATAATAGTCTGACACATTCAGCCCATCAATGATGCATTTCTAGAAGAACCAGGGAGATCAAGAGAATATGAAGTACAGCTTTTGAGCTGATTACAAGCTTGCAGGTTTTTAAATGAAAGCTAACAACCTTCCCAAGTCACTTTTCTCCTTTCACCTTCAAAGTGCAACTTAAATTCTGCAACAGCAGCTGCCTTTTTCGATGTGCTCCTGTATTTCACTATGCTTCAATTTACCTGGTACAGTCAAACAATACATGCTGGGATCTCCACTTATCACTGCCTGTCTCAACAATGAATTCAAGTCAATATGGATGCAAGTGCAATTTTAAGGAAATCTTTCTTACTAAGAATTTTTGTGGGGGTGGGAGGAGGGGAACCCACAAGTTCTTGAAGGAAACCATACACAACACCAAATACATATACTGCTTTCTAGTAATAAAACCCTATAAATAGGTGGTGGTGATGAATGTTACTCAGATATTTCTCAACTATATGATGAAAAAAATACTCTCCTAGTGTTCCTGCTGACTTTGGGTTGAACATGGGACTTGCTTTTCAAGTTACTGAGCCTTGCAGCAAGACAGTAACTATGCTGCTGATGTTATGTATAAACCACAGGACACTGGGAGAAGAAATAGAGTATGTTTGGAATTTGTGTGGGAAGAGATGAAGAAGAAGTAAGGAAACACATGTTTAAGGTCATATATTGATGTGTTCGCTAAAAAAAAAGCAGGAAGCTTGAACCCCTTTGTTGATGTTGTTGTTGTTGTCAGTGGAGCTTTTGGAGAGAGCAAATGGCTTACTTCCACTGATGGGGATTTAAGTTTGTTTATTCCCTTATTGATGAAAGCTAAATAAAATAAAAATTAAAAAAAAAGTGACCAGTTTCCAAAATATCTGCATAGGTGTATGTTGTCTGTATGCAATTTCCCTCCCTACCAACTATACCAGATTACAGAATATAGTAGTTTTAATTGCTCACCAATGCTCTTGGCTAACACACGAAACACAATACTGCTTTTGTGGGTGAAAATCTAATTATTAAACTTCAACATCCTGTTCATAGTCTCCAGCATATCAAAATCACTAAAAAGTTTTTCAGCTTAAAACTTAAAAAAAAGAAACAGCATTTGTTCAAAATATTTAAAATGTTTAGGGATTGAGCCAACACTCGTTGACATCAATGGGAGCCCTCCTATATTTCAGAGGACTTAAGTAGGACTTTCCCAACATGAAGCCATGGGTCTCTAAAACCCACCAATACTCTTTTCAGGAATAAATAGGGTCAGTTTCACAGTTCTCATTATTTTTAGCATGAGGAGAAGTCCAGGTTTTCATCAGAGCACACAGGACAGTGCCCTTGGCAGAAGGGCAGAGGGCACAACCACCACCCCCAGAGCATACCCTGGCTGGCAAGAGGTCCTCTCCTCCCCTCTGTCAAGAGGACCTGGAGCAACTGATGTGCTCTGAAAAGCCAAATCAACACCATTTCAGGATCTAATACAGGGTTACTGGAATAAAGGATATTCCCCATCTCTCTGTCAAGACACAAAAGAATCATCACAACTCCTGGTTTATACCATAAACCAAGTTTATTATTTACTCCTAAATTGGGTTTTTTTTCCAATTTTGAGCATATACAGGAGAATTAAGAAAGTAATTTAAAAAACAGTGTGATCTAAAGTTAAAAACTAACTTTGTTTAATCAGAAAACTAAAGCTTCATGCAGTTGTTTTCTTGACAAATAACTCTTTTTAGAGATTAAAGGTAGTCTTCTCCCATTTGTTTTTAAGAAGGTTCACAGATGAAGAGGAACAAGATGTCAAGTGACTTAAAAAACCCTTAAGAAATAATTGGGCACGTGGGTTATTTATCTGGCCCGATTAACACAGGGTGGTCTTGGAGGAGGATTATTTGGGGTAGAGAAAGCAGTTAGCCAAATCCTCTGATGGAGGTCATGTTGACAGATTCCAGAGTGAGAAACGAATCCTCCTACAAAGACTGCAAAACAGAAGATGACTTTAACCTTTTCTTCTCTCAGAAATGACTTGGTTAGTATGACCTTTGAGAACATACTGAAGGGCAAACATTAACCATTGCTACTCCTAAGCCCAGCATTAATATCCTCCCATTGCACCCTGTCTTCAAGTTAGTAAACTTGCACACTGTATGTACGCAAAGCTCAACACAAAGGCTCATAGAGCTCTGAAGGGAGGCAAAAGTGAGTAAGCCCAGCATGACAGACACTTCATAAAAAAAAGCACAAAATGTGGGTTACCTGTTCAGATCTAGGAAATAACAGTGGTATAAGAACTGATCTGAACTGTCTCAATGGTTTATACAAAAGAAAATAGATTTTCTACAGACAGTAGAAGCTTCTTCAAGCTTGTGAAGACTCAGCCTCAAAACCATCCACACATGCACGTAGGAACAACTGTATGGAAGAATGCCTACCTTTACCTTATAACCATTTATAGCCAATCTCATCGATGACCCAGTCCCAAACTGCATCCTGTGTGGATGATACAACTCTAGACACAAAATACCAGTGGCAGTGAAACAGCCCAGCATACAGCTGCTTGCATTCCAGACTAATGCCTCTTTCCCTAATGTGGAATTAAAGACATAAACATAGATTTTCCCAAAGCACATATTACTATGAACTTCCTGTTTCCAGATATTACAGGCAGTTACAGTATTCTGTCTGTGATATTCCATACTTGAAAATGCTTTTTTCAGTACTTGATCTAATGGTCACACCTTGTATGTATGGAAGAAGGGAAGTTAAAACACATAATGAAGCTTTACACAGGAAAGTTTCTTGTATCTTATATGCACAGGAAATCTGTTCTCAGAGACACCCACAGAGAACAGAAGGAAGGGTGGCCAGGAGAACATCCACTTCTGTGGGTCCACAGGGTCACAGAGAGAACATCCCCAAAATGCAAAAATGCAGGGGACGTGTGTGTGTGTGTGTGTGTGTGTGTTTTTCTTAATCCTGAATCTTCAGTAAATTACAAGAACAAGTCTGAGAAGGTCAAACAGTCCACCACTGGCTTCAGCAAATGTCTTTCATGCACCTTCTCAGAAATTATTCTTAGCACAGACTACTCCATTTGAATGGAGAGATTTAGACAAATGTAAAACAGATATATTTAAACCTAAATCTAAGGAATTCTGCACCATTATGAACTTTTTAAAAACTCCCAGAAATAAGTGAGCCATCATATTGTGTCTTCATTAGAAGAGAGACCAGATAACATCTTTTCCTGATCCTGTCTCATCTAGCACAGTCCTTCCCAAGGGAATCAAATACTAGACAATATTTGAAAGAATATTCGTCCTAACAAATAAAAATGCTTATCATACTCTTCTAAAGACACCAGAGTACTTCAGAATGGTATTAGTATTACCTGTAACTTTCAGATAAAGAAACTCAATGAATTAAAGCTAGCTGGTTAAGTCATTCTTGACTCTCTTTTGCTTTTGCCAGTTATGTCAACACTACACTGTACTAGCAGACCTACTGATTTCAAAGGTATGCTATGTGGGATAGGGCAGCACTGTCAGCAAGGATGGCAGAATAAGCGTCCAGTGAAAAGAACCAGAAAGTTCCAATCACAGGCCAGTCCTGCACCCCTTTCATGAGACTTGCTCATCACTGCTGGAAGACAGAATTTGTTTTTTCCTTAAAACAGGAGAAGAGGTGAAAATAGAAGAGAAAATAAAAAGGGGGGGAAAAAAGAAAACAACTTGGCAAAACATTTGGAAGTCAAATACACTCAAGATAAATCTGATACCCTGAACCAGACAGAATTACTGATCACTTAAATACAAGCAAGAAATGTAACTGGAATTGCTGAAATTACCAAAATTACTGGATATCTACACTTATTACATCACTAGAGAGGATATAGTTTTTTGTAATTAATTCACCTTGAAACACCAAGGTTCAGACTGTAAGCAGAACAATGTGACGCCCAAAGAATATATATAAATTATACAGGGGCATCATCTCTTTACTTAGTGGAGATCAAACCAGCAAATTTTCTGTGAACTGCAGATCATTTGATTGCCGTATTTCTATAACATGCACAAGAAGGAAGGGGAAACATCTGAAGTTATTTTTATTTCCCCAAGTCTTCTGGCTATACTGTATGAATGCTAGGGTGGGTCTGGCATTGTCTGAAATGTGTCAGGGTCCTTTTGCATAGCCTCATTTCCTTCTTCCTGTCGCTAGGAAGGATAGTTAAGCATGAAAAGCGCTTGTTTACAGTACAGGACCATCCTGTTAAGCACATGAGTTCTCTTCCTCTGTCTCCTTTTAAGCAGTCAAGGGTGCAGTTGTGTTTATGCTGAAGCCAATAGCACAACTTCAATCAGAGGGGAATTGGAAGAGAAGTTTGAATCTCTCAAGAAGGCCAAACATAACATACTGTGGTATTTTGTCTAGAAAAAACTTTATAGTGCAAACTGCATCTCTAAATATTTGAAGAACTCATAAATTCACATGCCTCAAACAAACCACTGCCTAGAATGTAATGAATCAGAATAACCAGAAAAGTAAAACCAATCCACCTCTCATCTGCTTCTTCTAGGAATCCTAATATAAACATTCAAGTTTAGTGCATGAGTACAACTACAGTACCTTTTTCCTACCCCCATCAGAGGCAAAATACATAGGGCACTTGTGAGTTTCCATGACTAGCATCAGTCTTGATCTCTGGCCCAGCAAGAGCAGCTGCAGAACTAGCTGGGAAGACCCTGACTCAAGACTTAAAAATCCTAGAATGAATCTACACAACTGAGAATTAAAACCCAAATAAAAACATGACATGATACATTCTTGCTTTTAACTACCACTTAGAAACGAAATTTTGGGATAGAGCCTTCCCAAATCTTCGTTCGCGAAGCCTCGCCATGAGAAACGAAATTTAATGAAACTGAATGAAATTTAAGCTCCGTGGTGTTTAAAACAATGTATCTACTCTTTCTTTTGATTAACAAAATCAATTAACAATCAATTATTTTAAAAGCAGATAAAGAGATCAGGAAGTCCTAGAGGTTCCAAAACGCAGCTCCAAATGCTTTGATTTCTATGAATTTGTAAATACCTATTTGAGAAGATTCTTTTCATTTACATCTTCTCTTCCATATACTGTATTATATAATCAAAGAATGTCAGACCTAATTAGGATACCACAAGCAAACTGAAGTACTAACTCAAAAACATTCACTTGAGAGACATTCATCCCACTTCCTGGCCATCTCAGCCTTTTTTTTTTTTTTTTGTTGTTGTTGTTGTTGTTGCTTCTACTGGATATGCAAAGCAAGATGCCCAGTGGACAGCAGTAAGGATACCTTGGAAGACAAGATAGCAGCCTACAGCTCTGGAATCAACAGACACGCCTAATACCAACTCCATGTGCTGTCAGCCAGCAATGGCCTGGTTGCCAGATGGATGCTGAATCAGTCTGGCATTGAGCTGTTGACAGATTTGTACTCAGAGGCTCATATGAAATCTGCCTGCCTATTATCTTCCTTAAGTTCACTACAAACAGCCTTAAAACTTAACCTGACTCACAGAATTGTTACTGATTTGCTGCTGGGAATTTCTTGATTAGGGCAGGGCAATTCAAATAGATCACATTTACTCCTGTAAAAAAAAATAAAAGCATCTATAATTGATGGCTAAGATAAAATTGCATTCCCCAGTCTTTCAAATTAGATGTGTTAAGTACTCTGACAGATCAGCCATTTAACTTCTGACCCAGTTAAACACATTGTTTAAAAGTAGTAATTTCTTCAAATTTTCCCAAAGAGAACACGAGGGGAAAAAAAAAAAAATAAAAAATTGTTGCACCAATACTAAGTACCCTCAACTGACAACAGAGCTCATTAGGCTAATGCCAACACACATTGCTCAACAACTTCACAGTTATGATGGAAGTAAGTAATTGGTGGTTGTTTGCAATAAAGGGGAGGGTGACACGGAATGTAAAACTGCCCGACTTGAAAACGGCATCGGCTTTCTGTTTCCCTCGAGAATGGGCTTGTGGGGGCGGAGCCCAGCTGGCAGGAGGTGCTGCCCCTTCACCGGGATCAAAGCCTCCGGGGGTGACATCAGGGCTGGCCACCGCTGCACGGGGGAGCCAACCGGGCTCCTGGAGGACATCGGGCTAATTACGAAGAACTTCAAAAGGATGGTTCCCGTTTCGCAAGAGCTCCCAATTAGGGAAAAGGAAAAAAAAAAATAAAAAAAAGAAGAGAGAAAAAAAATTATGGGGAAAAAAAAAGGGGGAACGGGAAAAAAAAACCAACCAACCAACCAACCAACCAAAAAAAAAAAAAAAACAAAAAAGAAAGAGATGCGCCACGGTGACCTTCAGAGAGCAGCCGCACCTGAGCGCCGCTCCGCGCCCGCGGCAGCCCCGCGCCCCAGCCCCTGCGGTGTTAACCCTTTCGGCCGCGCTTCCGAGCAGAGCCGCAGCGGGCCGCCGCTCCCGTCTCACCTGGGGCTGCTTCCGCCCCGACGCCGCTTCTCTCCCCGCACACACGGACAGGCCGGCGGGGGCGAACACTCGCGGCTGCGGACGCTCCGCACCGCGGGGCGGGACGGGGCAGCCGCACCCCTGCCAGCGCTGACTTCCCAGCGCTGCGGGATAACATAAGAGGGACCCCCGTCCTTACACCCTCATCGCGCTGCCCCTGAAGCACGTCCCGGCAACGCTGCCCGCGATGCGCCCCGAGCCCGCGTTGGGCAGCCGGCGCCCCCCCAAAATGTGCAGAGCGGGGGATCCCCGAGCTTACGTGTGAGGATCATGGTCTTCGCCGGCCGCGGCGGGTCCGCGGGGCTGCCTGCGGGACTGGCTTGCTGGGTCCCTGCCTCCCCGCCTGCCCGAGCAGCGGCGGCGGCGTCTCCCGACTACACCTCCGAGGAGCTGCGGAGCGGAGCGGCCGCCCGGCCCCTTCAGGCGCCCCCGCCCCCGGGGCCGCCCCGCCCCCGGCCCGCTCCGCGTCCACGCCGCGCTGGGTGAGACCTGTGCGCGCAGGGACGCGGCCCCAGTGAGCTCCTGTCTGGGCACGACCCGTAAATGCAAGAAAAAGTGACACGCGCGCGCCCCGTTCCCCCGTTGCACGTCTGGGGAGCTCAGGGAAACTTCACAAACCAAAGGTAGTGCCGTCAAAGACGACTTAAAGGCTTCTCTGCCCTTTGCTCCTTTGATTTTTACTGGCTATCGGCTATTGCGGTGGCCATTTAGCCAATTGTGATGTTTATAGAAAGCAGTCAGCAAAGTTCTCAATACTTTTTCCAGGAAACGTAGAGAAGAGTGCTAGTGTGGCTCCTTGGTGTTAAAAATTGGAGAGGTTTGGGATGACCTGGGCAGCACAAGACAGGGGGATGCTGAACCTTCAGCCAGAAGCAAGCCCTGCAGGGTGGCTAGAGGATGCCGGTGCTTCCCTCTCCGGGCAGCCTGTCGAAGGGTGCTGTGAAATGGTAGAAATTCTTGGACACCATCAAAGTCTCAGTCTGGACCTCGACAGAAAACAACAAGCGTTTTCGCTATGGGGACCGCAGCACAGCTGCAGGCAGGTCTTGCAGATAGTGAAGGCTATAGTGAAGCCAAGTCTGGCTTCATAGCTGTATGCCTGGGAGTTGCTCCCTACACCACTTACTCCCCTGTACATTTTCCAAAGATTGTTTGAATGCTTATTGCTTGGTTGACACTCACGTTCAGGACTTTTAAATTGCACAAAACAGGTACTTTTGAGCAGCTGCCAAACTATCAACGTGGAAAAGAGTATTGTGAAAATTTGAAAATATCTGGGTCCTGTCAAAGATTATGATTGGTTCATTTTCTTCCAAGCCAACACTGTATTTTATACTCACTGGTGTTATTCTAAGGTTCAGTTGTCATTTGTGCACTGTGAATACAGATATAGAGTATATATAATGTGATGTCTGAACAGGCAATTTCCTGAAGAATAAACATCTCCCCATTCTATAGGCTGCAAACTGAGGCCAGTTGGCCATTATAGTGTTGTTTCTGGAAACCCCTACAGAGCTCTAGGTCATTAATTTACTTTAATAGCCCAGAAGAGGATGGAACTGCACTGTATCTTCAAGCTTGACTTTACATATGTTACCCACTTAATTACCTCTCCATATCTAACCTGGCTTATGCTCTTTTTGGCATAGCCACATTTACCTGCATTTTTTAATGTTTCTTGTAAGGTACAAGGCTATATGTTTACAAGATAGGTCAGGCCCGCAAAATGTTAATTCTTAACTGTAACATGGGAAGACAGACATATGCTACGCCCCAGCTGTTGAACAGCCAAAGTAATCCCAGTCTAATTGGCTTTCTGTCTGTATTGCTCTTAGTTTCATGCAGTTAGTAGACTAGTTAGTGACAGAGTAGACATGATCAGATAAAATATGCTGGTTGCACATTGTGTGTGATTTTCAGAGTCTGAATTCCAGAAAAGAAAAAAAAAAAAGTTGTTTCTCCAATAAGCATCCTCAAAAGGAAGGAAAAAAAAAATTACCCAGAACATGTAGCAAAACACACTGGCACAAAGGCATTTCCATCACAATGATAATGCTGGAACCAGAAGACCACCAAGTGTCAAGTTAATACCCTCAGTAAAAATCAGGGTTTGTTCTTGTAAACACAGACTGCCTAGGCTGCTTCTCTGTATAGGAAATTTTTGTACAGGACCCACCGGAACCTTTTGAAGGAGGAGAGAATGGACTTTTACTTTGCAGAAAATATGGGAGGGGTTTGGAGGGCTTGGCATTGTGAAAGGGAACTGAAAAAAAAATCTAAAAATGAGAGATGTGCACAACAGTGAAGTAAAATCCAAATTGAGAGAGTTGTGTGATAGTTGCAAACCAAGAATTTGAAGTCAGTTTTACTTGAGGATTCTGAGAGGAGTGAGTGACGAGATCAGGGAATACTTGACAAATGTGTCTCAGACAGGGAAGATGGGAAGCTCTCACTAATTAAATCAAGGGTTATCATTCTCCCCTCTTTGACTTTGTAAAACAGCAAAAGAATGATGATGCTGATAATGAAACACTATGTTTGTGGTTCAGTTCAGCTCTCCCATTCTGCTTGCAAAGCTAATTAGCTTCAGTAAAGGAGGAATCTCCAACCTGTTTCAGTCTTTGTGGAGTCCCCTAGCTATGTCAGAAACAGTGACTTTTGTGATGGAGCAGTCTGTCTGTTGGGATCATTGCTAAATAGACGCTGCAAGATTGTCACTGACCTGGATTAGATTCTTGCTGGTAATCTAAAAGAGAAAGGCTTTGATTCTAGTTTGTTATCAACCCTCAAAGACACACAGTCTCTCTGGCTTGCATTTTAACTTGGAATTCTATAGGACTGCTTAAGCAGGCGTATTTTTGGAGCTGAAGCAAGGCACCAGTCTCACATTCACCATGAAACGTGCTCAGAGGAGCATTCCACCTGAGGCATGGGTGTTTAACAGGCTACAACCACTGTAATCACTCATCCAGCTTTAAAGAGTGTTGTGAAATCAGTAAAGCTTTGGCCTTTAATATTTTTATTTCTTTATCTCTCTAGCTATTCAGAGAGCCAGCAGCTGCCTGACTGAGACACAGGGTTTTGGAGGTAGCTTGCCTAAGAGGATTGTTTCTGTGGAGTGGTTATCCTTATATGCAATCAATGAGCTCTCACTGGATGGTAAAGTAATTGTAAAGGATTGCCCGACAGGCACGATTATTCACTTTAAAAGGTGAATTCTCCTTCTGTTGTAACTGCATAAGGGAGTGATTCCCAGAAAGGCATCTAATAATAAGGACTTGATTGTCCTCTGCTTTCCCTCCCAGGCCCAAATGCCTTAATGGTTAACTGTACTCCTGTCAGCCTTTTTCTTCTAAATAGTGCAGTACACAGAGAAGTCCCAATTCACAATCAGTCAACTGACCTGCTGGTACAAACACAGGATTGTCAGATGCATGATTGCAGTTCTAAATGCTAGTATTAATATCCTTTTAGCAACAGCATGATAGACTGTGGAGCCGTTTTAGACTGAGTTTCCAGGCCTCTGGCTCTGGGCTTGGATTCATTGTCGAGCGGGGTATATTTGTGTGTATTATTTCCACAGTCCAAAGGACCTTTATGTTCCAACCATTGTCAGTGAAATAATTAAGTTTTAATTTTCTAGCACTCGACTTTACTGAAAGTAATTATTTAAAGGAGTCTGCAATTGTTCTGGCCTCTTGACAAAGGATGTTTACACTATCACTTCACAGAGATAAGCGATACCTCTGTAAGCGCCTTACTTACAAAGAAGGAAAGACGTTGTTTCACCTACTCAAGAATCACAAAATGAAAGAAAGCATGTACCCAAAATAGCTTTTAACAAAATACATAGTGAAGTCACTATATTGTACAAACATAGATGCTGCTCTAATTCTTGTAATTTATGGACTCTCTGCTCTAGAGATCTTCCTTTAGAAATAAACACTATCAGAAATATTACCAGCTTGTCATGTATAATAGACTCTTGTAGCTGATCCTAGGCAGCATCAGTTGGGACTTTTTTCCTTTTTTAAATAGTAAACTATCATAAAAAAAATAACCTTACCTTATTCTATGTGATCCATATAACTGAATATTTAAAACCAAGAGGCAAGTGAGCTTTCACCTGCTTTTGAATGCCATCAAACACTGAGTTCAACAGTTCAGGCTGGCAAGGAAATTATCAGGTTCACATTATATTTAAGAAAGGCTCTATTCTATGGACGCATGAAAGAATAAGAAATAAAAATGGATTAAATTGCTTGACAAAGATACGATTCAGTAAAATATAAATGCAGATCAACTGAAATAGGAGGAGAAGAAAAAATAAGTATTTTAAATAAGTATTTTAAACACCAAGGGTAAACTCCTTAGCTTACATGAAATACTATTGGTTTATAGACATTGGTAAAGATGTAGGGTATCTTTCCCACGTTGTGGTTTAGATACTGTCATGAATGAATGTTTATTTTTTGAAGACTGCAGAATTTTCTACTGTTAATGTCTCTGCCTTCCCTTCAATTAAAAGCTATATTTTTACCTTAAAAAGATGGTTCACCTTTGGAAAAATAACCAACTGAATTTAACTTTCAAGAAAGTAGGGAAAGTAGGTAAACTAAACCTTATCTGAAATAAGTGCTGGCGGAGGGTAGTTAGGATTTCTAACCTGTGATGAAGGCTCAGAAATGATCCAGAGTAAGTGTGTGGCTTGTGACACATAGAAGTCCTTCTTCCCTATATTTAAAAAAATTCAGAATAACTATACTATTACTGCTAAAGACAGCATCCATAGTTTATCACTGCTTCACAACAAAAAATCTGAACCTGAAATTATCAGGACTAAAATCTCTGCACATATGTGGTAGAAGTGGTTGTGTCAGCAAAATCTAGTGGATATACACGTTACAGAGGACCAACTGTTACACTACATTAGCAAAATCTGTAATGAAGGTTTGTCTCTGCCAAGGCACCATCACTAGGTTTAGTGGTAGCAATTGCCTTGGTGGCCATGTGGCAGCAAAGCCCCATGGCACCAGGAGTCATCTCTGGCCCCTCTCCTTTCTCTGTGGGTCACTGAAAAGGAAATATCAGTGCCTGGGTTCTCATCCCTGGTTCTCTTCCTCTGTGCTTACAATTCACGGTGTGCAATGAAGTGTGAGAGGAAGACAGCACAAAGGGTGCTTTTACTCAAAATATATATTACAGAATGATCGAAAGATAAGCAACTTGATGATGGTGTATAATGGAGATATATATATCTCAACTTCGTGTTGCTTGGGAAATGTGGGGGGTTTTTTTCTTTTTTTTTTTTTGTTTTTCAGAACAATGCGTTTGTTTTCACTCTGTGTTCTTTTGACAGCAGCTAT